CAGCAAGGTAGATGCTCTACCATTGAGCTACAGTCTCTTCCCGCCGTACTGGTGGGACAGAAGGCAAGGATGCTAACAGGAGCTGGCACCAGAGCTAATGTCAGGTGCAGCCAACTAATTCTAAGATTTGCCCCCATCTTCCTTACCTGCCAGCCCGTCCCTGATTTTGCAAGGCTGGAAGTAGGACCACCCATTGAACAGGTTGTCAAAAGGCAAGCAGGGAAGAGCAGGCAGAGACTGGTGGGGCAGTGCCCCATTTGCCATATAGACCTGCCTACTCTGCTATTCAGGGACACGGGTGGTGCTATGGGTTAAACCACAGAGCCTAGGACTTCATCAGGAAGAACTTTCTGACAGGAAGAGCTGTTTGACAATGGAACGGTCTCCTTAGGGAGGTTGCGGACTCTCCTTCATTGGAAGTTTTAAGAGGTTGGGTGGCCCCTAGTCATGCATGTTCTGGCTGAGATTCCTGCATTGCAGGGGGTTGGTCTAGATGACCCTTGGTGCCTTTTCCAACTCTACAGTTCTACGATTCTATGATCATGTGAACCAGCACGTTTCTGAATTATGCAATATTTTTTTTGTTTTTGTTTTGTCCTCACTCCATGACGTGGGTGGTGCTGTGGGTAAAGCCTCAGCGCCTAGGACTTGCCGATCGTCAGGTCTGTGGTTCGAATCCCCGTGGCGGGGTGCACTCCCGTCGTTCGGTCCCAGCGCCTGCCAACCTAGCAGTTCGAAAGCACCCCTGGGTGCAAGTAGATAAATAGGGACCGCTTACCAGCGGGAAGGTAAACAGCGTTCCGTGTGCTGCGCTGGCTTGCCAGATGCAGCTTGTCACGCTGGCCACGTGACCTGGAAATGTCTGCGGACAGCGCTGGCTCTCGGCCTATAGAGTGAGATGAGCGCACAACCCTAGAGTCTGGCAAGACTGGCCCGTACGGGCAGGGGTACCTTTACCTTTTACCTCACTCCAGAGATCTTATCATTTAAATCACATTGAACAGGTTGTTCCTCTGCCCTTTTGAAATGAGAGGCATCGATGACTTGAAAGCCTTTCCCTCTGATCCCACCAAGAGGGAAGCCTCCTCTTTTCACGTGCTCAGAGGCACACTCAGGTCTTCTCTGGCATTCGTTCCGCACCTCCATCAATCCCACTAGGCCCCTCTCTCCAACGCAACCCAGGAGGACTCTGGGGTTTCAGATTTGATCCTGCCCGGGGAGAGCTGATGGATCGCTGCCATTGACGCCATGAGAAATCTGGTTGTTTATGCAAGTGGAGAGACCTGGCCCTTTTTCAGTTCCGGGCTGCTTGAGGGAATTGTACAGCAACAACCTTTTACAGCCTCAGAAGGCTGATGACAAATTTGGAACCGTTTTAGGCATATGCTAAGCGACATCCGAGATCAAGAAACTGAATCACCCCCCCAAACCTGCTCTCTGAGACGCCCCATTTTCAAATGTGTGCCGGGGCCTTAGCCAACCACTTCACCCGCCGTGCATTAGGCAAACTCGGATGCTGATTCGTAAATGATGTGCATTGGTTTAATCTATTTTTCACAGGGGGTTCTTGAGAGCAGGGAAATTAGAACCAGGTAGAAGGCAGTATTATTACTGTCTCATAGTGTGCTTTGGTTACATACGGACTGGATTAAGGTAACATCTGGTCCGTATTTCTTGAACTATTTCCCTTTTATCACGAGAAAGGATCAGCAACCCATCCCGCAACTGCTTTTAATTTAGGCCCAAATATTACTGATGAAACATTGTAGAACATGCTGTTATCTATTAAAACAATTTCCCCGAAGGAAAACTCGATACTTTTATATTTTCCAGCAAAAGCCAATCACACACCGCTAACCGGGGCTCCCCGTAACAACAGACTCTTACAATCCCACGCTCATTCCAAACACGGACCGAGGCTGCATGGGGAACTGGCGCGCTGAAGGACGTCAGCGTCGTGAGGTGAGGCTCGCGGGTTTCTCCCGAGCCGCGCTTGGGAATAGAGGCCAGGTGTGGCATGAACCCGCAGGACTGACGAGCCAAACACTCTCCCTTCTCAAAATATGGAAGGAAGGCCCTTGGGAGAGCCAGGAGTGGCCCAGGCCATTTTGCATTCCCCGTTCTGTGTGCAAAACTACAACTAATCCAGAATGCGGCAACCAGACTAGTGACTGGGAGCGGCCGCCGAGACCACATAACACCGGTCTTGAAAGACCTACATTGGCTCCCAGTACATTTCCGAGCACAATTCAAAGTGTTGATGCTGACCTTGAAAGCCCTAAACGGCCTCGGTCCTGTATACATGGAGGAGCGTCTCCACCTCCATCGTTCAGCCCAGACACTGAGATCCAGCGCCGAGGGCCTTCTGGCAGTTCCCTCCCTGTGAGAAGTGCGGTTACAGGGAACCAGACAGAGGGCCTTCTCGGTGGTGGCGCCCGCCCTGTGGAACGCCCTCCCACCAGATGTCAAAGAGAACAGCAACTGCCAGACTTTTAGAAGACATGTGAAGGCAGCCCTGTTTAGGGAAGCTTTTAATGTCTGATGCATTACTGTATTTTAATATTGTGTTGGAAGCCGCCCAGAGTGGCTGGGGAAACCTAGCCAGATGGGTGGGGTATAAATAAATTATTATTATTATTATTATTATTATTATTATTATTATTATTATTAAGAGTTTGGATTTGATATCCTGCTTTATCACTACCCGAAGGAGTCTCGAAGCGGCTAACATTCTCTTTTCCCTTCCTCCTCCCAACAAACACTCTGTGAGGTGAGTGAGGCTGAGAGACTTCAGAGAAGTGTGACTGGCCCAAGGTCACCCAGCAGCTGCATGTGGAGGAGCGGGGAAGTGAACCCGGTTCCCCAGATTACGAGACTACTGCTCTTAACCACTACATCACACTGGCTCTCTGACCGGATTGGTAGCTGGATCTTACTTCGGCTCTGTGGGTGAACTAAAGTCCTCCACCACACCCTCAGGCTAGCTAGCTTAGGGGCTGCAAGGCGGACCACATTTCACATGTTACTTGCCACTTTCCGCCCCTCCGAATTTGCTGCCTGAGGCAGCTGCCTCATGGAAGAGCCGGCCCTGCTGAGAGCACACATTTGAGATAGAAGATCAAGTTCTTGCACAACAGGGGTACTGGGCATCATAGATGAAGAGGAGTGGTGGGAGGCACCAGCTGGGAAATCTCTGAGGGAAGAAGGCTCAGAACCTGGAGTTTGGTGGTGGGACGATGAGTGGTTAGAGCGAGAAGAGGGAGCCGACTGGCAGGAGGAGGTGCTGAAAGCTGGAGCGGTAACAGGGACTGGCTGGATGAGGAAGGGCGGTGGAAGTTGCCCTCCCAAGGGCCCCCCCTGGGAGGGCACAGAAGACGAGGACTTAGATCCTGGTGGTGGGACACGGAGGAGTAGTCTGGCGAAGGGACAAGCTGGGAGGTGCTAGAAGTGTGTGTGGGGGTTTGAGCGATCAAGAGGAGTCAGGAGGAGGAGGGTCTTCTAAGCTGAGCCGGGGCTGGGGCATGAGCCGGAAGGGTCCTCACCTGTGCTGGATCCTCAGGTGCAGGCACCAGCTGAGTCTGCTCTGGCTCCTGAGGTGATGGAGAACCCATTGCCTGCAGGTCCTCCACTCTCAGCCCCGTCAGAGGAAGCTGAGGTTGCCTCTGGGTCCGGTAACCCTCCAGCCTCTCCTGAGCTGCAGAGGCTCAGGGCAGAGAGGCGGAGGGAACTAAGTTCCCGCAGGAGGAGTGCTCGCCTCCAGGCCAGGAGAGGCGAGTCACCAGAGGATCGGGGCCGCCCTATGCCTCGGGGCAGATAAAAGCCAGCCAGCCCCAGTCCCAAGTTGCGGGAGCAACATTGTTGGTTGCTAGTTCCTGTCTGGACCTTGTCCTGCTTTCCTGCCTGAGCTCCTGACCTGCTCTGGCTCCCTGCTTGCATGCCTGTTCCTGACTTCACCCGACTCCCTGCCCTGCACCCAGCTTCAGCTACTACGGACTGCCTGCACATTGCACCTTTGACCATGGACCGGACTTGGACCTCACCTCTCGGGTAACCCACGGGACCAGCGCAATGGGTAAGATGGCCCTGCCCTCCCCAGTTGCACTGGAAGCCAGTCCTGCAGAACCTCAGGCTTGGGGGCAATGTGGCCCTCCAAACATCTCTGTCTGGCCCTCAGGACTCTCAAACCACTTGCATTGCCTGGTTGGAACATGCCCCTGACCTCGCATAATGCATCTTGCTTCCCTGGGTGAAGAACAGGACTATGCGCAGAAACTAGTCCATAGGCTAAAGGGAAAATTTGCATGTCTTGCTCCGCCCATGTTTGTCCCTGGCCCCTCCTACCACTGGCATGTGCCTGCCCCCCCAATGTGTCCAGGTCGTGTCCCCCCCCCCCCAGCTTCAGACACCAAAACTGATTCCCATGACTTTGGCTGACTCAGGGGGAGCAAATGTCACTGGACGGGTCTCATCGGTGATTCTGTTTCTCTGGCCTCCAGCAACGGAATTCCATGGGAAACCGGTTCCCAGAATTCAGATCTGGCTGTGTCCGTGTGGCTCTGCTGCCTCCCAGGGTGTGTTTGGATTGTTCTGTGGGAGCCGAGTCTCTGGCGGCCTTTGTGCATGCGCTTTTCCTTCCTGTCACAATCGAGAGATTGTCGTGGCCCCGAAAAACACGGCTGCGCTTCCCGGATGGATGAATGAATACGCAGTGGGCGTGATGAAAAAACTGCCAGTTTTAGGAATCCTGCCAACTCCTTTGGAACACTGCTCCATTCAGCGCTTGAAACCAGTTTCCCCCTTTTCGTCTCTCATGTGCAATCTCAGGCTTTTATCTGTTTTATTTTTAATTTATTGCATTTGTCACATTTATATATCCCACCTTTTCCTCCAAGGAGCTCAAAGTGGCGTATGTGTTTCTCTCCATCCTCATTTAATCCCCGCAACAACCCTGCGAGGCTGAGAGGCAGAGACTGGCTTCCAAGGTGACCCAGTGCACTTCGTGGCCAAGCGAGGATTCGAACCCAGGTCTCTCGAGTCCTAGTCCAACACTCTAACCATTACACCACACTGGCTCAGTGTATAGTTAAAATGCAGGGAGGGGGAAAATTGTTTTGTTGTCTTCTAAAAAGTGATTTAATTCGCCCAAGCGTTTGCCAAGCTTCAATCCATATTTCATTTATTCATTTCAACTATTCACTAACTATGCTTAATAAACAAGGTTTCTAAATGGAGTCCATAAACATAGAATTGTACAGTTGAAAGGAACTCCAACGAGTATTTTGTCCAACCCCCTGAAAGCAGGAATAATATAAAATCCAAATTAATCTAATAGTTGAATAGTTTTCTTTTTTTAAAAAAAACACACAACCCTGTTATATTTGTTATCTTTATTCAGCTGCTGTTATATGCAGCTTTGGCTGCTCGATGGAAAAGCAGCATATAAGTGAATAAAAATGTAGCGGGTCGGGAGTTGGGTGTGTTTAACAGGACTGGTAGAATCTGATCTCTCCGTGGCATTCCCCACTCTAAATGATAGAACTGTGGAGTGGGAAGGGACTTCAAAGGTAACCTAGTCCAACCCCTGCAATGAAAGAACTGCAGTGAAAGAATCCTGAACAGGGGGACATCCAATCTCTGCTCCAATAAGAAACCTGAAACCCTTCTGAACAGGGTGGGCTGTGACTCAAGGGGGCTGAGAGCAAAGCAGTGCCATAACGGTGTTTGCCAGTGTCCGGGGTGCGTGTGCATATACAGTGGTACCTCTGGTTGTGAACAGGATCCATTCCAGAGGCCCTTTCGCAACATGAAAATATTGCAACCCGCAGCGGCACGTCTGTGTACGCGCGAGTTGCGATTCGCCGCTTCTGCGCATGCACATGACGTCATTTTGCGCTTCTGCGTATGCGCAAGCGGCAAAACCTGGAAGTAACCCTTTCCAGTACTTCCGGGTCACCGCGGGACGTAACCTAAAAGAACGTAACATGAAGCGGACGTAACATGAGGTATGACTGTACTGGGCAGGAGAACGCCAGCCCAGCCCTCACCTCCGATACTGTCAGAACAACCTCACCCCCACCCAAGCAAAGTGGTGCCATAATAATAATAGTAATAATAATAATTTATTAATTCTACCCCACCCATCTGGCTGGGTTTCCCCAGCCACTCTGGGCGGCTTTCAACAGAACATTAAAAACAGAACAAAACTTCAAACATTAAAAACTATGTTGACCTGCCTGCCACCCGCACAGCGGGGAGCCTGGCTGGCTAACACAGCCCTTTGCAGGCAGAGAGGAGCACTGGGCTAAGACGTGCTGGGGGCTTCTGCGTGGTGGCACCTGGTTTGTGCCCCCTCAAAAATTGTGCCCCCTCTATGTTACATCCCCTGAGCGAAGGGGGGATTCCAGTAAATTAAGCAGAGACACATTCAATGTGTTGGCGACTGAGGGATTTCTGTGCAAAGGGACGGGGTTGGAAGTCTACCCATGAGGACAATTTCGGATGCTGGTGGAGACAGTAAATACAGGGGTGTAGAACTGGGCTGCCAAGGTGGCTGTGGCCTCAGGCACATGATTTTTGAGACGGCGCGAACCAGGTGCCCCATGGAGCCCACCTACCCCAGCGCAGCCCAGCTCGCTGCTCCTCTCCAGCCACCAAGAGCCACACTGGCTGGCCAAGCTCCCCTCTGCAGAGGTGGGCAGGCAGGTGGCTCAGCGCAGCCCCACTTTGATCCAGTGGCAGTGGGGTCTCTCCAGCAGCAAGGGCTGGGCTGGTATCACCTGCTCAGCTGGTGAGTGTCCACCCTAGCGCCGGGCACCAGCAACAGACGCTACACCACTGAGTAAATGCCTCTGAATGCCTGTGGAAGGGAAGACTCACAAGTGTTGCTGTTGTACTCATGTCCTGTTTGCAGGTTTCCCATAATAGGTTGCTGGACTAGATGGCCCACTGGCCTGATCCAGGAGCCAGGGGTCTTCTTACCCGATTAATGTCAGCCTGCGGCCAACGGCCACAATGGTTCCCTTCTTCAAGCTGAGGTCACCTGCATGAAACGAAATACGCCCCGAATCCTTTTTCCTCATTGCTGCTGCCCTGATAAAATACCACACACTCTCCTGTCCTTATCTCACCTCCTGCAGCGTAATCTCTTTTGCTGGATCTTAACTCTGGTAACAGCAGCTCTGAGTGCCTGCCAAGAGCTAGAGGCAAGGAGGCAAAAGGAGCGGCCGCTGATAACTCGCTCAAGGCCTTTTCTATATTTGTCGGATCCTGTCCAACTCGATGGGGACAGGTGTTGGCAGCGTTTACCTCTCGCCTACGGAAGAAGAGCCAGCTGATTCAGGCCGATCGGTGCTTTTTCCTGCCAGTACGAGCTGGTACTGGTAGCTTCCCCCCCAAATTTTGCAGTTCCCACAAAACGGCAAGGCTTCACAGATGCCCATGAGGAACTCCCTGGTCCTGAATGGGGCAACTGTGCCCCTGAAGGACCAGGTGTTCAGCCTGGGAGTCATTTTGGACTCACAGCTGTCCATGGAGGCGCAGGTCAATTCTGTGTCCAGGGCAGCTGTTTACCAGCTCCATCTGGTACGCAGGCTGAGACCCTATCTGCCCGCGGACTGTCTCGCCAGAGTGGTGCATGCTCTGGTTATCTCCCGCTTGGACTACTGCCATGCGATCTCCGTGGGGCTACCTTTGAAGGTGACCCAGAAACTACAACTAATCCAGAATGCGGCGGCTAGACTCATGACTGGGAGTGGCTGCCGAGACCACATAACACCGGTCCTGAAAGACCTATATTGGCTCCTAGTACATTTCTGAGCACAGTTCAAAGTGTTGGTGCTGACCTTGAAAGCCCTAAACGGCCTCAGTCCAGGATACCTGAAGGAGCGTCTCTACCCTCATCGTTCAGCCTTCTGACATCTAAAGGGAGGGCGTTCTACAGGGCAGGCGCCACTACCGAGAAGTCCTTCTGGCAGTTGCCTCCCTGTGAAAAGTGAGATTACAGAGAACCAGGCAGAGGGCCTTCTTGGTAGTGGCTCCTGCCCTGTGGAATGCCCTCCCTTTAGATGTCAAGGAGATAAAGAACTATCTCACCTTTAGAATACATGTGAAGGCAGCCCTGTATATGGAGGCTTTTTAATGTGTATTATTTTATTATGTTTTTATATATGTTGGAAGCCGCCCAGAATGGCTGGGGCAACCCAGCTAAATGGGTGTGGTATTCTTATTCTGATTACTGTATTATTATTATTAATGGTGCAGGGTCCTGGCTGTCACACACATGCACTGCCTTCCAACTCTTTTGCTGGCAGCAGCAGGCAGGGCCAGACCTTTCAGTGGACATGAAGGAGGGAAAATTAAGCCTGGGGCATGGGTGTGGGTGTGGGTGTGTGGATGCAGCCTCCACGACCCTTTGTGGCCGGGTGGTTGCAGTCACAGTGCGACCTAGTTGCTGTGAGGGGATGGGACAGGGTGGCTGACTGGCTGGTCGGGTGGCACACATTGGGGGGGCATAGTGCACCCCCTATATAAAGGGTGACCGTTATGTACTGAGTTGTTGAATAGATCCAAAATGCAGCAGTCTGATTGGTCCTAGAACAATGCAGCAGTATGATTGGTCCGCACGAGCTACCCAATCCAGCTGCAGGTGGAAGGGAATCCGCAACCTGATTGGCCTACAGGAGAATCCTGGAATCAGCCAATCACGTGGGGCCCATTGTGTAAATAATGTATATAAAGCAGACATTCTGGGGGAACTTCCATTCCTCCTCACCACTATGAGCTGAATAAAGAGCATGAAATCCACTCTCGACTCCGAGTATATTTCAGTGACAGTGGTGAAAGGTGCACTGCTAAGAATCTGATGGATACAAGTACCTTTTTTTCCTAGAGGGGCCAATGGCTCATCTTGCCCAGCCTCCTGTTCTCACAGTGGCCAAGCAGTTGCCTGTGGGAAGCCCATGAGCAGGATCCCATCCCCACAGCTGTGGGGAGTGAGCTGTGAGGATTGGCGAGGGGGTGGGTGTCAGTTAGGTGTGTGGAGAGGGGAGTTGGCAAAGGGAGGCAGGGTTGGCGAGTGGCGTGAGTGGAGTTGTTGATGAAGTTTCCTTATTGCGTTTACATCTCCCCCTTCCTCACTGCATCGCCACAATAACCCTGTGAGGTAGGCCAGGCTGAGAGAGGCGGTGATGGGTGCAAAGTCATCCAGGGAGCTTCATGGCCAAGAGGGAAATTTGAACCCTGGTCTCCCCCAGGTTCCTCGCTGGACACTTTAACCACGACACTGACTCAAAACGTTGTTGTTTGCAGTGCTAGTCATATTCAGTAGACCCACTGGAATTGATGGGCATGCTGAGGCTGACTCATTTCAATGGGTCTTCTCTGAGTAGAGGTTGGCCGACCCGCAGGGTCCCTTCCAGGTCTGCGAATCTATGATTGCAACCTGAGGCAGATAAAGGCAGCGGCAGGACCTGCCTTCTGGATTTCCTTCTCCGGCAAGAAAGATGTGCTTGCTGGCGATTTCTTATTTTACAAGGTGCAGGCATTTCCCTTTCTTCCTCTCTCCGCCTGCTCCCCGCTCTGCCGCCAACCTGCAAACAAACAAGGCAGCCAAATGTTGCAATGGACGTGCCGCCGCTCGACCATATGCTTATTCCATCCCCTTCTGCTCCCGCTGAATAGTAAACCTGCAATATGGGGCATGATCCGGAAACTGATACTTAAATTAAGAAGAAAAGAAAAGGGGGTGGGTGTATATGTAGATTCATCTTTTATTCTCCCCTCTCTTCTCCTCTCCTACCCCCAGGACTCAGTTCTCCGTCGATATGAAAGGGAGGAATTTTTTTGCTGGTCTCCACCAGCTGCTTTCTGACCAGGGCCCAGGACATTTTGCTGCTTCAGAAAGAAAATGTTCCCCACACCCCTCCACGCCACTGGGGTGGTTAAATCTGTTGGATAATTATTGGACTGCTTAGTCTTCATGCAGCAACGCTTCACTGTGCAGCAGGGATATTGAGGAACCTTTGGCCTTCCAGATGTTTTTTGGACTTCAGCTCCCACCATCCCTGAACATTGGC